CAGAAGTTTAAATGGAATTCGAATTGTGATAAAGCGTTTGTGAAGTTAAAATCGAAACTAATAAACCCACCAGTACTGAAATACCCCGTTTTCAATAAACCATTTTTAATCACCACTGATGCATCTCACTATGCATTAGGTGCAGTACTCTCACAAGGCGAGATTGGATCTGATCTTCAAATTTGTTATGGAAGTAAAGCCTTTTAAAAACACGACTTAAATAAGCCAATCATAGAGAAGGATTTGTTAGTAATACATTGAGCAATCAATTACTTTCGTCCATATGTTTATGGCAAACGTTTTTTTGTTATAACAGACTATAGACCCTTAATTTCCCTATTTGTTCATAAGAACTCCTCATTCAAAATGACAAGGATTAGAATAGACTTGCCAGATTATGATTTTGAAATTATGTATAGAAAGGGAAGATAAACACAAATGCAGATCCACTATCTAGAATCAAGAAAATGTAACGAAAATGTAACAAAGAAATTTAGTACTGCTAATGAAAAAGAATTAATGATACAATTAGAAACAAGAGACATTACTCGAGTATATGTTACAATGCGCCATGAAAAAAAATGATAAACCTATAGGAAACACACGTTTCAATGAGCCTAATAAATTCTATTGTTGGAACTGTATATCCATTAGTGATATCAGACATACAATGAAACTGCAGTTTAATATAAATAAAAATAATAAAGAAAAATTATACATTGTGAAAAATGTAGTGAAAGTGGAAATGAAAAAGGTACCTACGAAGCCGATTTCGATCATGGAAAAACTCATATCCAAAATAGAAAATTTTAAAATCTATGAATTAGCGCTAGCACAAGAAGATACAATATTTGATGTCATGGCAAAAGAAGAATTTAAAAATATTATAAATATGTTGCAACGAAGAAAATAGAAAAAAAAATCTCAAAATATTAATTTATAAAACCCCGGAAGAAATCTCTGATAGAATAAAAAGATACAGACTCATAGAAGAATATCATAATACTCCTTACAGTGGGTACTTATGTGTAAGGAAAACATTCACAAAATTAAAACAACGGTATACGTGGAGCAAAATGAAACAAATGGTTCATAAATGTATCAGCACATGTCATAAATGCCAAATCAACAGACAAAGCATACAAAAGAACAATTAGAAATTACAACAATACCTTCAAACGTTATGAAAACAATAGAAATCGATACTGTAGGCCCTTTTCGACCCCTTCGATTTAGATATATTCTCACAATGCAATGTGAATTAAATAGATTTATCATTGCATATCCAATAGTAAATAAAGAAGCATATACAGTAGCTAAAACATTAGTAGAACAACTAATATTAAAATTCGGTTTATTCATAATACTGAAATCAAACAGAGGAAATGAATTTGTAAGGAATTTGTAAAAGAATTATTCACAAAAATCACAGACTTACTAGACATAAAACAAATATTCTCAACTCCTTACCACCATGAAACAATTGGCACCATAGAGAGGAATCATAGAGTCCTCAATGAATATCTTTTAAATTTTACTGAAGAAGAAGAATAAAACAAATGGGTACCATGTTATGCTTTTGCATAAAAGTTCTCATTCTACATAGGCACTGGCTATACGCCATATGAACTTGTTTTTGGCAAACTACCTTCACTTCCGGATGAAAGACTCAAGGATGATAAATTCAATTTAGAAAATTACGCGAACGAACTGAAAGTATCGATTGAAAAAGCTAGAAAGTTCACACATGATGCCAAGGTTAAAAGGCAAGAACAAACTAGATATAATAATAACCCAGTTAAGTTAGAAATAGGAAGTAAGGTATTAATAATATCTTAAAATAAAAGAAAAAGCACTAGTCTATGCATAGGCCCCTTCAAAGTAATAGATATTAATGACGCTAATATAACGACAAACGACGGTAAAGAAAATGAAGTAATACTTAAAAATAATACAAAACTATTTAAAACATAATTGTTAGCAAATGTTATCAATTACAATTATTATTACCTGTACAAATATTATTACAATTTTTTCAATTATTATTAATAGCTTTATATATTATATAAGCATAAGTTTAATCATTAGTAAACAAAAACAAAAGTGCAAGAAAACTTTATTTAATAAGAAGTATAATAAATATAATATAATATACAATTTTAATTATTATTAGCTGTACAAATAATGTTGCAATTATTTTAATTATCTTTAATAACTTTTTACTATTAATATAAACTTATGTAATATGTTTTTCAATAAGTTTTACAAGCTCAAGTTTAATCATAAGCAAACAAAATAAAAGTTAAGAAATTTCATTTAAAAAGATTTATAATAAATATACAGTCAAACTTCCATAACTCGAACTTCTATAACTCGAATTTTCTATAACTCGAACCAAAAACAGTGCGCCAAGGTTTTAGAGAGCAAATTACATACAATTCTGCTTCCATAACTCGAACTTCTATAACTTGAATTTCTCTATAACTAGAACAAAAATTTTGTTCTGTGCCAATAGGAATATGGGAAAGTTCATTCTATAAGTCGAATTTTTATTTTAAGTATAAATCCATTTTGCTGTTAATGGAAGTCCCTTTTTCCAAACCTAATGTTTAATTTTTTTTTCTCATTTTGCTTCTTTGTTCCAAAGCCCAGTCGCTGTCAGCGTGGTTTAAAGTAAATAAAATAAATTCCAATGCTACTCTAACCGATTATATTGAGCTTGACAATAAAATTTGTATATCAAGTTTTCCTACAGATGAGATATTATTGAACACTATACCTCTAAATTACTGGATTCAATTCTAAGCGCAACGGAAAGTGATGATGATCCGGTTCGGTGGATGTAATTGTTCATCAACGTTCCAAGAATGAAGTAGAAGACTCATTCAAAGTTCTGAATTTATATTAGCTAACGAATGATAATCAGCTAACAACTGATGATCACTATAAAAGTATGAATAAAGTGGAATCTCTTTTTACTGAAAATAAGAAAAAAAATTAAATACCAATCCCTAATTTCTGAATGTTTCACTTCACCGTAACTTCTGTACTTTATTTGATTGCAAATAAATAAATACATATTTTAAAATGTAATTCTAGTTTCTTTCAAAAATCGAAGTCTCCATAAGTTGAACCTTTTCTTTGCAAAATTGGACTTCGAGTTATGGAAGTTTGTATTTACAAAAAAAAAAAAATTTTTTTTCCAAAAGTTTTTTTTTATTTTAAAGAATAAGGGCGTTATGTGATATTGGTATGAGACCACACATATCACACAATATATGTGTTATAATTAATTTTAACATAAATATTGACACAGTTCTATTTTAAATAAAAATAACAATAAATTGTCTCAAGTAATATGAGCCTTTATTTTGTCATTGCTTTGATGACAAATAACTGAGCCACACATTGCACCATATGTGAAATACGCATACGTCAAGACTGTGTAAATAGAAAAAACGGTTTCAAGTGAAACCATATGTAGAACACTTGCGTTCTAAGCTACTACATCATTTATTGATAAGCTATTTTTTTAAGATATTATGTTACGTTAAGCCTTTTCCGAGTTAGTGCATCTGGGCACTTTTGCTCTATGATGGCTGGGGGGATTTTGCAGAGTCGCGCCCATCTCACTGACTAATTTGAGTATTCCTGGTAATCTTCGTGATTATTCTAAAATCTTTAGCAAAATCCTTATTCCAATCAAAGCTGGTTTGGGAATGCTTTCAACTTCTCAACACCCTAGCATCGAGGAACTATGTTACTCTTATGTGGTTACCGGGACACGAGGGGCATGAGGGCAATGAAATAGCAGACATATTAGCAAAGAAGGGTGCATGTACTTCTTTCATTGGGCCAGAGCCCTTCTGCGGAGTAACAAATAGCTTCACAAATAACTTATTATGTGAACGGGAGAAACAGCATCTACTTGAACACTGGAGAGCCCAAACAGGCATGCGACAGTCAAAAAGATTCATTGATCCTGAACACATCAAAGTTAATGCTATCATCAACCTTAGCAGAAATGATATCAAAATCTACACTGAACTTCTTACAGGACACTGTAGACTAAATTACCACATGAAGATTATAGGTGCGGTAGAAAGTGATTCCTGTCGACTCTGTCATGAGGAGAAGGAAACATCAGAACATGTTCTATGCAACTGCCCAGCGGTGGCAAGACGTAGACTCGATTAGTAGCGGGATCCTGGTCCCAAATCAAATAGGTAAAATTAAGCCCACTGCAATTATAAGATTTATAAATAGTCTAAAATTGTCCTAGTTGGGCCTATAGGCGCACAATAGATCTTTTAGGTCGGGGCGCACAAATAGCCTATTTTAAATAATAATAATAATAAGATCTGCGTACCGGCTCGTGCGGTTAGTGATTACTCTGAGATTAGATAGTGCTAAGTAAATATTAAATACGTCTAATATTAAAATGTTAGACTTAAGGAATTAAAATAAATAAAAATAAGTCTGGTTTAGACATCAAAACTGCACGCGTCTTTCTATTGAACATTCATACATTTAAACATTCTTTTCTTAAATAAATAAAAATAAGTCTGGTTTAGACATCAAAACTGCACGCCTCTTTCTATTGAATATTCATACATTTAAACATTCTTTTCTTTTTGAACATTACTCTACAGTACAAAACTTCATGTAAAATATAATAATGAAAGCATATTTGCACAAAAAGGATCTTCTCAATTAATGCTATTTTATCTCATTCAATTAAAAATTATATAGATAGCAGGGCTTACTGGAATTATTAGAAAATTTGCTGATTTGCTTCCAATCTCAATGATATTGCCCTGTATACGCAAATTTGGAATACTTAACTGGAGTTTTCTATGAGAGGCTAGTTATCATCATTCATCATTACTAAACAAGAACGCTACGTATCTAACAAGAACTTCTTAAGACTTGCAATAAAAACCCGAAACCGGAAATTTATTTTATAAAATTACTATTTACATATGTAATGTAATTTAAATTCAATACAAATGTTTACATTTAAACAGTTTCCCTCTTTTGTATTTTAAATTTTAAATTTTTAACCAAAATATTATTTTCTAATTGTTTCTCCTGCGGTTTTGATTCTATCTTTGTTCTTACCGACATTTCAAATTTGTTTAAATTTTTATTACAATATCGCCGTTTTAGTTTCTCATCCATAATTCGTTCCATACCCTTTGTCTTTCTAAAATGTGAATCTGTTGGATCAATATTATATAAATGCTCCGAATACATTGCTTTAAAACGTTCATCATTAACATTTATTTGGAAGGTGTCCTCCAATTTCTTATTTTCTGTGATAACTGATTTGGATTTTTTTAAAAACTTTCTTCGTTTTCTTTTGGAGTTTACGCCTTGATCAAATTTAAAAATTTTTTCATAGTTGAAATGTTGGCTATGCCTTTCGTTTTCATCTTCGTCAATTAATAACTCTAACTCTTTTGCTTTTTGCTTTTGATGAAATTGATGATCTTCTTTTGATTGTATTTCAATTTTAAGTTTTTCAAGTTTTTTTTCGGATACTGTGTCAATAAAATCTCCATTTGCAAATTCTTCTGCAAAGTAACTATCGTTCATATCAATGCCATCTGGTATTGAATCAGAATCCTCATTTGAATTTTTGTTTTCAATGTCATTACCATGCGCTTGCAATTTCCTTTTTTTTCGTTCTTCTTTACGCTTTTTATTTTTTTCTGATCGCTTTTGTAAAACCTTTTCAATAGTTGTTTTGTCACTAACGTTATCTCCACTATTTTCTTCATTGATATCGTTGCCATTTTTTGAATCTTCAACAACCCAACTAAATTCCATATCAAATTTTTTGGTTTTTTGTTTTTTTTCGCTTTCATCAATTTCTGCGAGCAAAGTACGATATTTATTTATTATATCCTTCTTAGTCTCATTGGTTTTATGTCGAATTGGATTGGATTGAATAAATTCATTCCTACTCGTATTGTTTGAATTTATTTTTATATTTGATTCAATAATACTATCGTCATCATCATTTTCACTACTACTGATAGCAACAATTTTTTTTATATCCTTATCCTGTATATCTTCTAAATTACTGCTTGCTAGCTTTTCACTTATTTCACGACGTTCAACTGCTGTTTCATCCCATGTAAGGTTAACTTTTGCTTCGTGCAATGCACTAGTTGTAAAATTTCGTGGTATATAAGTATTATCAGGTAAAGAGGTGCATACATCAGAAGGTTCGTTATCGTCAAATGATATATTATCAGGAATAAACCTTAAATCTATACGTGTTGCAGAACTTTCATATTCCAAACCATCACATTCTTTGTAAACTTTGTCCGCAGTTTGTATACTATCAAATTCAGCCACTGCATAGTAGTAACGTAGGCGATTTAGCTGGTACTGACGTAGTTTCTCCATATGATACGCGTCATCATACGCTTCATAATCACTATCATGCGACTGTAATGATTCTTGCTCGGACTTAATGGATTCAGATTTGTAAGCATTCTAAAAATAAACCGGTCGATTAATTTAGGTAAAATGTGTTAAGTAATAAATGAACCTTTCGATATTGTTTTTTTTCCCTATAATTAACTAACTCTGTTGGACCAAACACTTCTTCTTCAGTCATACGTGTTTTACCATATTCAGATGGGTATATTTTAATGCTCAATACAGTGCCTCCTGTGGGAAGAAACGAACTAACGACTGCCATCAGATCGACGGCTCTTATTCGATCCCAGTCCATATGACATATAGCAAGTCTGCTGGTAGATTTATCAGTTAATTCTGCTTCCGCATCAAGTTCCCCCCAAACATGGTCCATATTTAACACAGGATCTGATTCATCGTCAGTTGACTCGCCAGATGATGAATCAGTCTCCAAATATCCCTCCCCACGAGCATAATCGATATTTGGATTTAGCAATCGTTCTTTTAGCGTTCCTGCCACTGTCTTTTCTAGGATTTCCACTTGTTTATAGATGTCTTCTCGACCAAACGACTTATTGCTTTTTTCTTCTGGTATTCCCGTATAACTACTTATTGTTTGTTCTTCTTTTTGTTTTTCGTTTTCTTCGCATTCAGAATCTGACGAACTTATCTCATAAAACTTTCGTAAGTTTTCGGAAGAACTCTTATTTAATTTTCTTCCATGTTTGTCAACTGTATATTGAATTTTAAAAACATCATCCGTAAACATTCTCTGAAACCGATTATCAATTTTCACTTTACGTTGCGATTTTGGAAAACTTTTGAATCTTGGATCTGCAACCAAATGATGAAAACGTTCATCCTGCCAAATTCTAGGCAGGTCTTTATTTTTGACATAATTGTTGTCTTTCGGTTTATCAAGTTTGTTTTTAGACATTTTATTTGCTTGAACATATATTTTCGAATTTACAAATTAGATCACACGCAATACAAACGTGCGCTCAAAAATATAATTAACGTCACTCACACGTGGTAAAACTTAGCTTACACTTTCAAACAATCATTCAAACTATATTAGTTAAACCACACACTCATCAAAGAATATCTTAAGCAGAGAATATCTTTTATAGAATGGGAACTCCACCAACCTCGACCAAAACTAATTGATATTGCTTAAGAAAACTCATTTTTTATAATATTTTTGTCACACGATTGAAATAAGTATAATTACACCACATTTATGCCACTTTTACGTTCGTTCAGGGCTGCTTTATCACTTTTTTTTCAATTACTTACTGCACAAGATTTTATTTAGATATATAAATACTCGAAAGTGTACATTACATGTAATTTTGATTGCAATTGTGTGTTACGCAATTATTTATGCACTTTTTTTAGCTATTAATACAGTTTTCATGTGCGAAAAATAGTTTAGTAGGGTTTCATACAACATGTTGGAAGCAATAAAAATTTATTTTAGCTTGAAATTGGAAAAAAAAATGTTTTGGAATTAAATTCTACTTAATCTTATGTTGAAAATGTTTTCCATCTAAATATGTAATTGTCGTTATTTTATAACGAAATTTAAACTTATATGACATTAACAAATATAACTTATACACTATTTCATGTATCATACATTCACATATCTATACAAAAAATTTTTGTACTTAAAAATAAAAACCAATAATTTAGGGCTATTGTGCTATAAGTTTATACAAAATAATAAAACATAATTGTTACCGACTTTCTGCCGTTCACGTGGAACTATATTTTTATTACTATTGTTAGCGTCTACTTGAAGTTGGTTGCTTATTCACATACAAAAAAGATCATTTTTGGTTTTACATTGCCGGTAGATGGCAAAGTGAGCGTCACAGATGTGTTCGCCACAGCACTCCCCCCTCGATGAATAATAGAAACTGCTGTTATTTGTAGGTCATCTTGGTTTGCGTGACTTGTTACTGTTGTAGTGGAGCCTGATAAGGTTTCACTGCCCAACGTTGACAGTTGTGAATTTGAATTGTTTACCTCAAAGGATCTTGTTCAGCAAAGATTACTTTGCGTACGTTGTTGCTGGTTCTGTCCTTCTGATTGTTTTGGGCCGGATTGACTAATATTTCCAAAAACGATGGTTCTGACGACTGCTCATTGCTTTCTGCTATGAACGCTGGTTTTAACCTTTCTATTGAGACATTTAACTGTTTGATGCCAACTTGAATCTTGAAAATTCGTTCACTTATTCTTTTGATGAATTTGTGCGAGCCTGTGTATGGCGGTTTCAGTGGTTTTCTTATATGATCAGAACGTAGGAAAACATGGGTGCAGTCTCGTAAACCTTTGTGAATGAAAATTGGTGATTTTAAATGATGCGATGCTGAAGTAGGCATTAATTGCTGTAACCCTTTTCGAATTTGATCTAGAAACTTTCCCTGGCTGCATGTTGGAACGTTGTCAATCAAAAATTCACCAGGTAACCGCAAAACTGTGCCATACACTAGTTCTGCTTCTGACGCATCTATGTCTTCTTTTAATGCTGACCTCAAACCCAGTAGAACTGATGGAAGTAACTGTAACCAAGTTTGTTCAGGTCTGGCCATGCGAGCTGTTTTCAAAGTACGATGGAATCGTTCTATCATGCCGTTAGCTGCCGGATGGTAAGGAGTCGTACGAATGCGTTCGGTTCCCAGTAAATTGGGTAGAGCTCGAAAGGCTGTCAATGTTGACAGCCTTGACATTGACGAACCCATGACTTTAAATCTTTACGGATTGATGGTCGTACATACTTTGTTGTTAATTGATGGAATGTCTCTTTGGCACCGGGATGTGATAGCGAGTGCACTAGGTTGAATACGTCTCTTCTCAATGACTTTGAAATGAATGGTCGTATGCGATCAGTTGTGATGTCGCAATATGTATCCAGATCCGCTTGTAGTCTTAATTTCTTTAGCTGCAATGATGAGTTTGATTTGAGTGCTTCTTGTAACTCTACGTCATTAACTTGAGCTTCCCTGATGGGTTCTAAATTACATGACTGTGGCATTGATATTGCGCCTACCCGTGATAGAGCTACCATGTTGTTAGGACCTGATACATATGTTATGTCAGTTGAAAATTCAGCAATGTAGCTTAAGTGTCGCGCTTAACGGGGCGATAATTTTTCCAACTTCTGTTTGAAGATAAAAATGAGTGGCTTGTGATCGGTTCGGATCATAAAATGTCGTGCTTCTAACATGTGTCGCAAGTGTTTGATCGAAAGCTATAATAGATTGCTAAGAGCTCTCTATCATAAGCACTGTAATTTATTTGTACTGCTCTTAATTTTGCCGAGTAAAATGCTACTGGCTTCCACTGATCACCCATTTGTTGTTCGAGAACGGAACCGATTGCTGAACTAGATGCGTCAGTTGATAATCGTAACGGATATGTTGGTGATAAGTGTACTAATTTGGAGGCTGATGAGATACTCGTTTTGCATTTATCGAATGCTGTGTTGAGCTCTGTTGACCACAATGCTTCGGTTTGTCATTTTTCTTGGAATCATTAAGAAGGTTGTTCAATGGTTCGTGTATTCTGCAGCTTGTGGAATACACTTACTATAATAATTCATTACTCCTAGAAATTGACGAACTTGATGAACTGTTTTCGGTTTTTCATACTCACGTATTGCTGTTATTCGATCTTTTGGGGGCTCTGTCCCGTCAGAAATGATGTGATAACCAAGGAATTGTAACGATGGAACACCAAACTCGCATTTCAACATGTTAATGCTTAAATGCGCTTGCTGAAGTTTGTACAATACTATGTCTCGGTGTTTTTCATGTTCGGTTGCATCTTTGGAAAAAACCAAAATGTCATCTAGATAGCAAAAAACGAATGGTACAGATCGGAATATGGAGTCCATATGGCGCTGGAACATATGAGTGGCGTTTTTTAGCCCAAATGGCATTACGACGAATTCAAACATTCCCACTGGAGTGCTAACTGCAGTTTTGCAAATATCTTCCGGGTCCATTGGTATGTTATAATAGGCTCTATTGATATCGATTTTAGAGAAGATCACACTCCCGTGAAGTTGTTCTGATACCTGATCAATGTATGGTATTGGGTAGCGGTCTAATTTTGTGCTGGCGTTCAGCTTATGGTAGTCACCACATGCAGTCCAACCATCTGTCTTTTTTCTAACAAGGTGGAAAGGGCTCGACCATGGACTGTTTGCTGGTCGCACGACTCCTTGCTCTTGTAGTGTGCGGAATTCATCACGAATTGCTGTTTCGCACCAGAATATCTTTTTGGCTTCTCTGCGAATGGTCGGCATTCTGTTTTAATCCGATGGCTTACCTGGGAGCTTGTTGGCAATTTGTAATTGTTAGGATTGGATCAGTTGATGTATTTGCGAATTACGTTGGGTAATTTAGTAGAGGCATTTAGAGTAGATATCGAGTGTATTTCCGCGTTTTTTACGGTATCTGTGATGGATAAAGACGTGAGGGACCTTCATGTTTAGCACCAACCCGAAATTTGCCAAGAAATCTACGCCTATGATTAATAACTTGACCTCGGCTATTATAAAGTTTCAAATAAAATTGCGACGTAGTCCTAAATCAATGCACATCCTTCGAATTTCGAAAGTGTTGATGGTTGTGTTGTTTACTGCAAACAGCTTGATGTCGTCTGGAATTGCATTTGAGTTTTGCGCTATTGAGGTGAGTGGAATAATAGATACTGCTGAACCAGTGTTGACCAGAAAATATAATTTGCTTGCCTTGTCGAGAATATGAAAACGGTTTTCGCTTGTGCAACTAAAGAGTGCGTTATCGCCTGCTGCACATTGTGGCGGTAACGACTTTAGTTTTCTGAGTTGGAATTAAGCTTTTTGGATGCTTCGATGAATTCACACGGCTGTTGACATTTTGTGGCATTTGCACCAAAACGTGTATGATAAAAGCATAATTTACTGCGGCTTTGTCTGCGCCGATTGCTGCTTCTTCGACTACTGCGACCAGATCTAACTTCTGATGCTGACAGTTGCTATTAATTGTTGGATAGAAGTCTCGAGTGCCAGTACTTTCGATTCTAAAGATGGAACGGTTTTGCAGGTGGCATATTATTCATTATTTCGTCGGCTAACTTTACTGTTTGATCTGTATTACCTGTGTTGCTTGCAGACAAAATGCACCTCAGATTGCTAGATACCCGTTGAAGCCAAAGTGCTGCTAGAGCTTCCTCAGAAACATTCGTACCGGCTTAATTTCGCATTTCCCTAAGTAGCTGTGTTGGCCGTTTGTTTGATAACTCTAAATTAGTTAATAATTTCACTAGTTGTTTGTGTTTCGATTCTCCAAATCTTTTTATCAGTTCTTTTTTTAACATGATAAATTTATCTGTAATGGGTGGACATTTTACGATATCTGCAACTTGATGCAAGGTATTATGATCCAGTGCCGTTATGACAGTGTACAATTTTGATGCATCTACTGTTATCCGATGCACATGTAATAATCCTTCGATTTGAGCAAACCATAATTCGGGGCCTGTTTGTAAAAATGTAGGTAATTTGATTATGTCCATTGCAGCAACTTCATGTTTGCTTTCTATCTGGTTATTTTCTACCATCGTTGTGTTTAGTTGCTCTTGTAGTGTGGCTTCTTTGTCGTCCTTCATCTTGCTCTTGTGAAACTATTATTTGCAATGTGTCATTGTTTTTATCAGGGTCATCAATTTATGGTTATTGTGCCATAAGTTTACACAAAATAATTAAACATAATATTTACTGACTTTCTGCCGTTCACGAGGAACTATATTTTTATGACTATTGTTAGCGTCTACTTGAAGTTGGTTGCTTATTCACATACAAGAAAAATCATTTTTGGTTTTACTTTGCCGGTAGATGGCAAAGTGAGCGCCACAGATGTGTTCGCCACATATTTTTATAATAGTAATTTAATGTTAGATATATCAAAAGTGTCATTACAATTTATTTTACTTATTTTTAGAAAAAAAATAACTATGTATAAAGCCTTGTTCACTTCAAGATATATAACATGCCATAATTTAT